ACCAGGCGCCCTTCTTCGTCGGGCAGGGAGCGTCCCATCGGTTAGGGCGCATCCTGTCGTATCCCATCCGTATTGAATGGGGGAAGGGAGAGAGTTTTCTGCCCCGATCCCTCGCCTTTCCCCAATTGTTGCGCCTTCTTAAATAGGGGAAGGGAGAGGGCTCTTTGCCGCAATCCTTCGCCTTTCTCCAACTGCTGTCTTTCCTCCTTTCTTCTCGTCAAGAGTGCTTGTGTGCCGCGGTGGTTCCTAAGTGAGAGGGAGGGTAAGCGAAGGGAAGAACTCACAGATCCATTCGTGAATCCGGAGCGTAATGTCGAGCTGGAGGCCATCCGAAGCGGTGCTGGCCGCCTTTGCCGAGAAGGGGCTGCTTCCGCCGAAGGAAGTGGCGCACTGGATCCTACGCGGGCTCCTTAATGAGGGGCCTAGAGCTGCAGCACCTCAATCCGACTAGGGCGCTGCACGTCGCCGGCTTCGTCACCGTCTGCGAGGCCTTCCTCGGGATGGAGCCGCTTGTGGATTTTTTCCGGCAGATCTTCACCGGGCGAGCCTTGTCGGAGGGGAAGCCGCCCAGGACCGCGCCGGTGGTGGTGGTGGTGGGGGGGTTTCGCCCCTGCAGCCGCTCAGGTTGGCCAGTTCATAAAGTTTGATGAGATGTCAGAGACATCCTCTAGCTATAGCGGCCATACTTCGGTAGGCAGCGTGCCTGTCCAGGAGGTGCTCCGTTTGTATGGAGAAGTCTGGAGCTCCACGCTCTTCTGCTGAGTACCTATGGGTGCGATTGCGGTGGTGGTTATGTCTGGTGGCAGTAAATGCTCTTAGATGATGCCCATGAACTTATGAACTTTGTTGAGGTACTTGGTGCCTGCCTCCGGAAGACACCTGGACCTGGACTTTGCCGCTATCTTCAAATGGTACGCCGACGACTGGAACGCGGACGCCATCTATGCGCTCGGGGAAAGCTTGCTGCCACACGCACAGTTTGGTGGCCAAGCAAGTCTCCGCGTTGTGGGTGATGGAGGCTCGCCGTGCGAGCGTGGTTGAAGGCGTGCATCAAGAAGACGTCACCCAGCCTGCGGATGGAGTGGAGGTCGGGCCGGAAGCTCCGTCCGAGCCGAGCGTTGCCCGTCGGAGGGCGAACAGCTTTTATCTTCGCCGGTCGTGTCGTCAGCCGATGCCGTCGGGCGGCCACAGTAGAAGTAGCCAGCAGATGTAATAGTTTAAGTTCGTTGGGGAGCCCCCGTGTGAACAGTTGTATTGACGAATACATCAATTTTCGTTTTGTGATGACTTACTTCGTTCAGGGAAGCTTGTCCCGTTCGTTACTTATTTTTACCTTAGCATAGCTTTGTTTTTATTCTTTCTTTTTCGCACCTGTTCGTTCGTCCCGTAGGCTGCAACCATAAGAGCCTGGGCGTGGCCCGCAAGGCTCAGCTGCTCGTAACCGTAAGTAGAGGCGGGGTGCGATCGGTCGAAATGTTGAAGCAAAGTTACGTAAGATAATTAAAGGAACGGACTAACCTTTCGTTTGGGTAAAAAAGCATTTACCATATGATAGTAAAAAAGAGAGGTGGTATCGCACCCCCGTGGAGCCCCCGAGCGACCCGGGCTGAAAGTGTTCGGGCCGGGGTGCTTTGCAGGAGCGAACGTTGAATGAAGAAAAACGGTAAAGACCGAATTTTAGGGGAAGAAACGACGTAACTGTTCGATGTTCTAAGTGTTGGTGAGAACGTCGCCGTTGTCGTCCTTCAGTCGGTAGGCGTTCGGTTGCATCACTTCGGTCACCGTATAGGTTTATTCCCATGGTGGAGAGAGTTTGTGCTTCTCCTTGGTCGATTGGGTCCTTCGAAGCACGAGGTCTCCGACCTCAAGGATCCTTCCTCTGATTTTCCTCTCGTGGTACCTGTGGAGAGTCTGCTAATAGCGAGCGGAGTGGATGACGGTCGTCTCGCGGGCCTCCTCGAGTAGGTCGACTGCGTCTTGTTGAGCCTCCGCGGCTCGGTCGTGGTCGAAGGCCTTCACTCTTAGGGCGCCGTGGTCGATGTCGGAGGGCAGCACTACTTCAGCTCCGTAGGCCAGGAAGAAGGGTATGAACCCTGTGGATCGGTTCAGGGTCGTTCCCAGGCTCTAGAGGATCGCTGGGACCTCTGCAATCCATCGCCCCGCGTACTTGTTGAGTTGGTCGAAGATGCGTGGCTTAAGTCCTTGGAGGACCATGCCATTGGCACGCTTGACCTGACCGTTAGTACGTGAATGTCCGACCGAGGGTCAGTCGATTCTGATTCCGTATCCATCACTGAAGTCTAGGAACTTTTTCCCGGTGAAGTTAGTTCCATGGTCAGTGATGATATAGTTAGGAACGCCGAACCGGTAGATGATGTCGAGGAAGAATTGGACCGCCTCTTCCGAGCGGATGTTGGTGATGGGCTTCGCCTCTATCCACTTGGTGAATTTGTCCATTGCTATGAGTAGGTGAGTGAAGCCGTCCGGACCCTTTTTGAGGGGTCCTACCATGTCGAGGCCCTGCGACCCGTGATGGGGACGAGCCGGCAAATGAGTTTGGGGATGGCATTTGAGCTCTCCTATGCCGGATCTCAAATGGTGGTTTAGTAAAAACCTTGGCGGCGAGAATTGGCATCCCAGATTCCGCATGGACCTCGAGGACGATGTTTCTGGTAGGGATCATGAGTCCAATGGAGTGCGGTGGGGCTAGTAAAACCGCCGAGCGATCCGGCGAAAGGCTTTTTCGTGGGCGACCTCGAGGGTAGCGCGTGATGTCTCGCGCGGTCGATTTTGGCGATGGACCTCGCCGAGGAGACGTTTCCCTTGGTTGGTAGGGATGCACTTCATGAGTAGCCCCCAATGGCTGGGTTGGCATCGGGTGAGTCTGGATCGGACCTTCCAGGATTCGGGCCAGTTCATGGAGGTCATTGATGAAGACCCACTCGAGCGGATCCCGCTGGCGCCAATTTTGCGAGAAAATCGGCGGCGCATCGTTGTCCTTTCGGGGACGTGATGCAGCGATCCATCGACGCCGCCATGAGGGGGCTTTATAGAGCTTCATGACCATTCGCCGACAAAGTCGCCAGAGCGCCAAGCTTCGATGGCGATGCACGATACTTGATGAGGGGTATGCGGAATATGTTTGAGGTCGAAAAATGGGCGGATGAGTTCAAGTACTCCCACTTGGAGATCCGCCCCCCGCGTCGTGATTACGGACTCGTCGAAGTACGTACATGTCGTGGGTGACGTCCGGAGGTATGAGTTGGACCTCCGCCCATTCGGCGACAAAATCGTAGAGCTGATACTTAATCGGGAATATAGTACGATGTCGTGGCCCATGAGTTCAAGTGCCATGGAGATCCGCCCCACGGCGCGCGATACGGAGTTTCCGACATGGTGAAGTGACGGACCGCGACTTCGGGTCGGTGAAGTACCTCTCGCCATCAAGACGCATATAGGAGTTTTTGCACTGGTGGTACGGACTTGGGGTCGTTGGACCTTAAAGTATCTGGTGTGGACCTTAAAGTGGTGTCCCGGCTCCTCCCTTTCGACGACTAGGGCGGCGCTTACCACGTGGTTGCTTGCCGCGACGTAGAGGAGGGGTTCTCCCCGTTCGGGAGCGACGAGGATTGGGGCCGACGTCAGTGACGCTTTGATGCTCTCCAAAGCCTGTTGTGCTTCCTCAGTCCAGACAAACGTGTCTATCTTTTTGAGCAGCTTGTAGAGAGGCATCCCTCGCTCGCCGAGCCGGGAGATGAATAGGCTCAGGGTGGCCAGACAGCCGGTGAGCCTTTGTACGCCCTTGACGTTGCGTATAGGGCCCATGTTGGAGATGGCCGCAATTTTTTCGAGGTTGGCCGCGATACTGCGTTCAAACACGATGTATCCAAGCAGCTTCCCCTTCGGAACCCCGAAAACACATTTTTCAGGATTCAATTTGATGTTGAACCTTCGGAGGTTCGCGAATGTCGCGGCCAAGTTTGCGATCAGGTCGCAAGCTTGAGCCGTTTTGACCACTATGTCATCAACATAGACGGAGATTGTTGGTTTCGGCCGCTCGACTTGATCAGGCTGATCGAGCGGGTCGATTTGATCGGCGAAGCATTGCTGCATGCACCTTTGATAGGTGGTGTCAGCGTTCTTCGGACCGAAGGGCATGGTTACGTAACAGTACGAACCATACGGGGTGATGAACGAGGTTGCGAGCTGATCAGTCTCTTTCATCGCGATCTGGTGATAGCCTGAGTAGGCATCCAGAAATGAGAGAACCTCGCATCCCGAGGTAGGCATTCAGAAATGAGAGAACCTCTCATCCCGAGGTGGAGTCGACTATCTGGTCTATGCGCAGCAAAGGAAAGTGATCATTTGGACACGCTTTGTCGAGGCCAGTATAATTGATGCATTCTTCATTTCCCGGTCTTCTTTTTAACAAGAACAGGATTGACAAACCAGTCGGAGTGGAATACCTCTCTGATGAATCCGGCTGCCAGGAGTTTGGCGACCTCCTCACCTATGGCCCTGCGCCTCTCGTCGTCAAAGCGGCTCAGGCGTTGCTTGCGGGTTTTGAGCCCGGGATGAGGCGCAGTGCCTGAATTTAGCCATCACCCCAAGCTTGTTTTTAAGCCTGAATTTATTTCTGGGGAATAAATTGCAGAGTAACAGTTGGGATCTGAGGAAGCATGTCCAATCCCGCCAAGCTCCTTTAAGCCAATACAGTCATAGGCCTACTAAAATGCAGCGAACTGGCGGTGATGCAAGTCTTACTGAAAATGGAAATGCCTCAAGTGACAGTGACAAGTAGAAGGATCTAATAAAATACTACACTAGTTCAATTGCACAAGCAAATTCACCTGAGGAAAAGAAACGGCGGGAGCATAGATCTAAGCGATTTGAACAGAGTCAAGGCACACCATCAAAATCTAGAAGTTCTGTACCAGATAAGGATGCCACAGACAACATATATACAAGTAGAGCTATGTCACTGCTTCTCAATAGAAGTAATGTCCGGTGCTGGTTTGGCAGTGGAGGATTATGATTGGGATGCACTGACAATCAAGGGAACATGCCAGCAAATTGAGAAACCATACCTACGCCTTACAAGTGCGCCCGACCCTGCCACAGTGAGGATGCCTTGCTAATTGTCATGTCAATTGTAGGCAGGAAAACATGTTACTAGAAGTAACTGCTTTATTTTTTTTCCTGTTTCTTAGGTAATTTTTTTACTTGTTGACTCCTTTTGCAGGTACGACTAGAAGATGTCCTAGAGAAGGCTCTTTGTATGGTTGAAACATCAGAAAAGAATTATCTTTACAAATGTGACCAACTGAAGTCTATTCGGCAAGACCTTACTGTTCAGAGGATTCAGAGCGAGCTGACTGTCAAGGTAGTCTCCATAGCCCCTTGTAGTATGCTGCATTGTGGTGTTTGGTAATTATATAAACTATGTGGCCCCCTTACTATTTTCCTTGAGGAAGAGATTCATCACATGGTTTATTTTATCTATTCCTTTTTTTAATATTTAATCCACCAGAAAATTATTAAGTTAATGTTGAATCATGTGCTCTGTTTCTTATTTTTTGAGGGCACTATTTCCTTGCATGATTGATTCCCTTGTAACATTTTGACCTCTTGTTTCAGGTTTATGAAACCCATGCACGTTTAGCTATCCAATCTGGAGATTTAGCTGAATATAATCAGGTTTGCCTGTCTTGTTCTGATTTATTTTATTGCGTAAATAAGTACAATATTCATGTACCACGTGCTATTCTGCTATCCTAGTTGCATTGTGCCAGGGAAAAGATGCTACTTATAAATGCTAGTGATAATATGCAATAAGGGCAAACAAGGTAGACGTCAATAAATTCACATGCACAACTTATATTTTGCAATAAATGGTGAAATTGCATGCCCTATAGAAAGAAACAGATGGAGTACCTGCTACTGCAAGCAATTGTACAGTGATATACGTGATTAGTGTTGGTTTTAAATTCAAGAGCAACTGGATCTTACGAGTTTTTCCACATTGTACAAAACATTAGGTGTTTGCCGGTCTTTTCACAAACACCATGTAGTTGCATTTAGTATTAGCTTATCCATCTTTTTTATTTCCTCGAACTACGCAGGAGAGCTACGTGTCATTTCATTAAGGTAGATAAAAAATAAATAATAGTTACCACTATCCATGTTGGATTTTTGTAGTTGTAGTTGTGTGTTGGTTTCTGAATTCCTGGTTGTTTGTAGTTGTGTGTTGGTTTCTTTTAACTGTGAATATAACAGCCTAGTTTTTAATTGTTTTCTCTGTAACTTTTGCAGTGGCAATCTCAGTTGAAGAGATTATATGGAGGGAGGAATTCCTTGTGTGCCATTAAAAAATATCGCTGTCATGTAGAGGCGCACATACTCCAGGCGCCGCAGGGCGCGAGACGCGCGTCGGGCCGCGGAACGCGCGGCGCGCACGGAGGAGAGCCGCGGCGACGGGCACGACCAGGCCACCATCAGTGGCTAGGATCACCAGATAATTAGTTTCCTATTATTAGTCCTTTGTTTTAGGAGCAATTAGCTCTCATTCGGTTGGGCCAAGGGCTATATATTTCCTGTAACCGCACATTGATAAGGTTAAGCAAGATTGTTACCTCTAAGCCTTCTATCTCTCTCGTCTACGAACAAGCCTGCGGCGGAGGGGCAAACCTCGCCGGAGAAGACGGACCGGGGCTACGAACTCCGTAGCCAGGGGCCAGCTACCCTAGGGCCGGAGGTCCTTGACAACCTGGTATCACGGTCTCGTCGATCCTCGCCTTCCGCAGCCGCCGCAAACCCTAGCCCATCACCAACCGCCGCCATCAGCCCTCCATCTTCGTCATCGACCACTGTCGCATCGTGCGCCGCCACCATGGGGGATGATCTCAAGGCCTCCCTCGAGGCGCTGACCAAGTCCGTCGCCCTGATGCAGAAGTCGATCGAGGCCAACGCCAAGGCCATCGCCGACCTGACCATCGCGGGTTCCTCCGCGTCCGGCGGCCGACCGGGATCCGGGGGCGAACACCACCAAGACCGGCCGCCCAAGCACTGGCGTCCCGAGTTCCCGTGCTACGACGGCAAGAGTGACCCGCTGGCCTTCCTCAACCAGTGCGAGTCCTTCACGCAGCAACGGATCATGCCAGAAGAACGGACATGGATGGCGTCCTACAACCTCCAGGAGGGGGCCCAACTCTGGTACATGCAAGTACAGGCGGACGAGGGGACGTCGCCATGGCCCCGTTTCAAAGAGCTTCTCAACCTCCGCTTCGGGCCGTCGCTACGCTCGGCCCCCCTCTTCGAGCTCGCGTCTTGCCGGCGTACGGGCACGGTGGAGGACTACCAGGATCGCTTCCAAGCCCTCCTTCCCCACGCGGGCCACCTCGACTAAGCACAGCGCATGCAATTGTTCACGGGCGATCTTCTGCCGCTGCTAGCCTCCAGGTGCAGAACCAAAACCCGCAATCGTTGGCGGCGGCCATGAGCCTCGCGCGCCAGATGGAACTCCTGGAGCAGTACTACGCGTCCACGGCCAAGGCACCTAGCCGGGGAGTGCTGCCGACGCCCGGGCCGCGCACTGCCACTCCGCCCACGACCAAGCCGCCGGCACCCACCACGTCGGTCGAGGGCCGCCCTGTCAAGCGCCTGAACCAAACGGAACAGGAGGAACGGCGCCGCCTCGGGCTGTGCTTCAACTGCGATGAGAAGTACAGTCGCGGGCATAACAAGGTTTGCAAATGTTTGTTCTTTGTGGACAGCGTGGTGGAGGAGGACGAGGACACGACCAAGGACACGCCGGACACGGAAACACCGGTGTTCTCCCTTCACGCCGTGGCGGGTGTCGCCATGGGCAACTCGATCCTGCTCTGGGTGCAACTGGGCGCGGCATCTCTCGTCGCCTTGGTCGACACGGGTTCGACCCATAACTTCATCGGAGAGTCAGCCGCCGACCGCACGGGGCTGCCCGTCCAACCGCGGCCACGTCTGACCGCCACGGTCGCCAACGGAGAAAAGGTGGCCTGCCCGGGAGTACTCCGCCACGCACCCATCTTCATCGAGGGCATGACGTTCCACGTCGATCTGTACGTCATGCCGCTCGCCGGGTATGACATCGTCCTCGGCACCTAGTGGATGGCCAAGCTGGGGCGCATCGCCTGGGACGTCACCACGCGCACCATGGCGTTCAAGCATCGCGGGCGCGACATATGCTGGCAGGGCGTGGCCAATCCCGACGGGCCGACGGGCCGCGCAGCGACCTCCGAGGGCTCCCTCCTCGACGGGCTCCTCGACTCCTTCACCGATGTCTTCGCCGAGCCCTCGGGTCTACCTCCTCAACACGGCCGCGACCACGCCATTATCCTCAAGCCTGGCACGTCGCCGGTGGCGGTCCAGCCGTACCGGTACCCGGCGGCCCACAAAGATGAGCTGGAGTGGCAGTGCGCCGCAATGATCGAGCAAGGCATTGTCCACCGCAGCGACTCGTCCTTCTCCTCGCCAGTCCTCCTCGTCAAGAAAGCGGACGGGTCGTGGTGATTCTGGGTCGACTACAGGGCGCTGAACGCGCTCACCGTCAAGGACGCGTTCCCCATCCCCGTCGTCGACGAGCTACTCGATGAGATCCATGGGGCGCGCTTCTTCTCCAAGCTCGACTTGCGATCAGGTTATCACCAGGTGCGCATGCGGCCAGAGGACGTCCACAAGACGGCGTTCCGCACCCACGACGGACTCTACGAGTTCTTGGTCATGTCGTTCGGGCTGTGCAACGCCCCGGCGACATTCCAAGCACTCATGAATGATGTGCTTCGGTCATACCTTCGCCGTTTTGTCCTTGTCTTCTTTGATGATATTTTGATTTATAGCAAGACATGGGCAGACCACCTTCGCCACCTTCGCATCGTCCTGTCGATCCTGCGGCAGCACAGGCTCTTCATCAAGCGCACCAAGTGTGCCTTTGGCGTCGACTCCGTGGCATATTTGGGCCACATCATCTCCGCCGCAGGTGTCGCCATGGATCCGGCGAAGGTGCAGGCCATCCGCGACTGGCCTCGACCGCGCTCGGCGCGTGCGGTGCGCGGCTTCCTCGGCTTGGTGGGGTACTACCGCAAATTCGTCCACAACTACAGCTCCATGGCCGCGCCCCACACCGCCCTCCTGAAAAAGGAAGGGTTTGTCTGGACCGAGGTAGCGACCGTGGCGTTCGACGCCCTCAAGGCCGCGGTCTCTTCGGCACCGGTCCTCGCCATGCCAGACTTCACCAGGCCGTTCACCGTGGAATGCGACGCCTCCTCCCATAGCTTCGGCGCGGTCCTCATCCAAGACGGCCACCCCATCGCCTTCTTCAGTAGGCCCGTCGCGCCTCGCCACCGCGCCCTCGCCGCATACAAGCGGGAACTCATCGGCCTGGTGCACGCCGTACGGCACTAGAGGCCGTACCTTTAGGGTCGCCACTTCACCGTCAAGACTGACCATTATAGCCTCAAATATCTCCTGGACCAGCGGTTGGCGACCATCCCACAACACCATTGGGTGGGGAAGCTGCTCGGCTTCGACTTCAAGGTGGAGTACAAGCCTAGCGCGACGAACACCATGGTGGACACGTTCGTCTGAAGAAGCACTGTCGACGACGCGGTCGATGACGCCACCGCCTACCGCCTCGTCATACTGCCCCTACCACATCACGGAGATGATCAACGAGGTGGTCTCGCTCGCTCCCCGGTTCGACTTCATCGAGGTCCTTCGCCAAGCACAGGACACCGACCCCGCGCTGGCGGCCATCAAGGAGGAGATCATCGGCAACTTGGGAGGACATGGGCCGTTCTTTCTTCGCAAGCGCCAGCCGTGGTCCACCACCGATGGCATGAGCATACGTGTTTGCCCAGGCGCGCCAGACATTCCCCCGGAACGCAGGCACGCAAAAAAAAGATATGATTTTCTAAGATATATTAATCATATCAAATCATATTTTTTAGGAGGAATTAAATAAAGATAATTTTATATAAAATTATAGATCTAGATCTACGAACAAAGGAGGGGCATGTCTCGCCGGAGAAGATCTCAGAAGTCACGGGCAGCTACCCTAGGCGGAGGTCCTTGACCATCGCAATGGCCAGATTATGCTGAGCCATGGAAAAGTTCAGCGGTCTTGTTGTTTAACAACTTTTTTTTTGCCTTCTAGTTTTGAGTTTTTTCATTTGAAGTCGTTAAGATGCTAAAAAAAATTAATGACATATTTAGACATAGAGGGTATTTTCGACTTTTCACACCTCCATAAAAAAGATTTGACGGCTAAGTTAGAGTCCAAACTAACGGATTAGTGGCATAGAGGGCACAAAAAGTTGAGAGTAGTAAGGCTTAAAAAAATTAATGACATATTGAAGATCACTTTTGAACTTTTCAAATTAACGGGACACACAGGGCATTATGATCTTTTTTTAATAACACACAAGGAATTCCCCCTATATGGAGAAGGAGTCAAGGGTTGCAACCTCGAATTCTCTGCTTACAACTTGCTATATCTGGTGCACTCTAATAACAAAAGAGATTTGCTTTCATCTATGGCAAGGTATATCTGGTGCATAGTAAAATCATGAATGTTGCAATAGCAGTGGCAGAGCCTTGCAGCTCTGTATCCTTTCCAGAAATCCTGGCTCCACCACCACATAATAGGAGGATATTTGATTCTGTTAGTCTTATTGTTACCTGAGCTTTTGGTGCATGTATTTGTTTCAGCTTGCCAAAGGAAGCCAAGAAAGACACAGCTGTGAAGCATGCCCTTGAAGTTCGTTATGCCTTTTCGTCTGGCAACTATGTCCTGTTTTTCAAATTGTACAAGATGGCACCCAACTTGAACTCATGTCTTATGGGTAAATATGATCTTTCTCTCAGTCGTATAGCTAAACACATACATATCTATTGCCCTATTGGACTGACTGTTTCAGTAGCACATACATTGAGATGTTTTCCATTGTACTGTTGGATTACAGATCTCTATGTGGAGCGAATGCTTTTTGTGGCTATGAAATGCATGTCCAAGTCATATCGCCCAACTGTACCAGTTAGATACGCTGCACGGGTTTTGGGATTTGTGGGAATTGATAAAGTTTGTGAGGCTAATGGAGCTGATGGACTGGAAGAATGCGAGGAATGGTTAAAAGCACATGGTGCTGTTCTTTCAGTAGATAACAACGGAGAATTACAGATAGACACAAAGGTAAACCTTGAACCAGGCAGTCCAGGATCATGCATTGCACTGTATTTTGTTACTTTGTTGTGTCCTGATATATTGTGATTCTTTTGAGCAGCACACTGTTATTGTACTTCTTTTGACAGGTTTCTTCTACTTCTTTGTACTTGCCGGAACCTGAGAATGCTGTTTCTCATGGTGATGCATCTCTGGCTGTGGGTGACTTTTTGACACGAGCATCATCATAAAATTTATGTTCTGGTGAGTGCCCCCCTCTTTTTGCACTGGTCTTTGGAGGTGCTGCACTACTGCATGTTTGCCAATACCAGTAGAGGTAAATTCTCTTAATGCAAAGTAGAAACTCGAAACATAGATGAAAGAAACCCACTGTTACATGAAACAGATAGGTATCCAGGACAGAATACATGCAAGTAGGGGTGACTTTTTGGTGTGAATGACCTGCTCAGAGTTATGTTGGGTGGAATTATGTCAGTCTATCAGATACTTTTGCAGCCAGATCTCAAATGTATATGTTTTGAGAAATGTGTTCAAACCGATTCAGTGTATTATACTAATCTGTACGCGTCCTGGTGACACTGTCTCTGATCCGTCACAGATTACAGAACATAGTTCATAGGAACTTGAAGAGGCGCATTCTTGTCCTTTTTTTTCACTTTATCTGTAAAAGAAAAAAAATTCTGGGGTTTTTTATGCTAGTCGGACTCACATCATCTGTGTTTTGCAACCGTGTGGAGCTCAGCTATTCATCACTGGAAACATAAGTAATGACCCCCCTTGGCTACAATTGGTGGCTTTGCAGTACAACTAAATAATGGGCCATTTCTATCCATGGATTTGAATTTAGTCTACAACTTTATTATAAATGGTCCCTGTTTATATATATGTATGTTGTTTTGGACAAGGTTGCAGTTAAAATTTGCAAGCTTTACTAATATGACTATGAGCAGAAGTGAACAAGTGAAAGAAGTTTGTGGCCTCCTGTAGATCATTCCATGTCCAGGGCGAAGAGAGGGAGTGTTTGTTATCGTCCAGTTTTACTTGCTTAGGGATTGGAATGGGTCGGGTCGATCCATTGGGTAGTTCGTTGACCTGATCCACAAAAGCAAGGCCAATGGGTCATATGGGCCGACCTTGAAGTCTAAAAAGAATCGATAGGGCACTTGACCCAGTTGTTTTGTGAAATACTTTGGTTTTATAAAGCAACATGAGGTATTTGGATGCACATTGATGGTTGTAAAACTGCAGTTTCTTGTAGTCTCTAAAACCATGTAAGCAGCATCGGTTCCGTCGAAGTTTATGCTCGTCGCCATGTCCCTGGGACTACTGAGGTACTGCCATTGCCCGCCCGTCCTGCCTCGAAGGCTCCAGCGGGCTCCATGAATAATAAGCGCTTGATTGGAGGATCGGTGTCTTGATACCTCCGTCCCCAAACCCATATCTGAAATCCCAGATACTATCCAGAGTAATCAAGGATGTGCACGTAGTCGTCAGCAGCGGGAAGGTTCCGTGAACGGTCATTGGAACGGAATTGCTGCTGCGGCATCTCAAGAGTACCTAATAATCCTTTCTAATCCCATGATTTTTTGGAATCCTTCCCAATCCTATGATTTTTGTGAAGAACGAAAAAAATCCATCTCTAACAACTCCTAGACTCCGTGAGTGGCTGAAGAGCTAAACATGTGTTTGGTTGGAGGCGTTCAAGTGGGTTTGGGTTGGGTTGGACCCATTTTTTATAGTGTTTGATTTGGGAACGTTGGGATCGGGTTCACCCCATATGGGGAAATATTCTTGTCAGATGCGGGTTCATCCGGTTCCATCAAAATGAGCGGACGGGGTTCGACCCACTCACGTCTGGCGTTCGTCCATACGCGAGTAGCAGCGGCCGGAGCGAGCTAGAGCAGCGGCGGTGTGGCCAGGGAGCAGCGGCGCTGTAGCCAGGGTGCCGCGGCGGGGGCGGCTCCCGTGGCCGGACCGAGCAGCGCGGGGGCGGCTAGCGCCCGCGGCCGGGCCGAGCAGCGGCGACACGGCCATTTAGCTGCGGCGGCGCGGCAGGAAGCAGAGGCGGCGCGACCATGGAGCTGCGGCGGCGCGGCCATGGAGCTGCGAGGGGGGGGGTGCAGCCCCCACGGCCGGGCTGAGCAGCGGCGGCGCACGTGACCAGGGAGCAGCGGTTGCCGGGGAGCACGATGTAGAAGAGGTAGAAGAAGTTAAGAGGCTGGCACGTTGACCCCACCAGTCAGTGACCAATCCCCCTCTACAAAACCTGTACAACCATACACAAATCTGGGTTCAACCAAACCTCCTAAACCAAACACAGAACTGGGTTCGCCCCAACCCAAAAATCTAGGTTGAGTTCAACCCATCCCTAGTGATCCCACAACTAAACACATGTTAAGAGTCAGAGGAGCCTAGAACAGTGGCTCCTCTCGGCTCTTGGTTTATTCGAAGAAGCGAGAGAAAAAAAGAAAAAAAAACTGTATGCGGTGGTGTCGCACCACGCTTTCCGTGCGACACCTGCCCGATGATCTCCAAATCCATCCGTCCATGTAGACCCGTCTACATGAGAAAAGCGGGGCTGGGCGCTTGATTGTTGGGTTACAGAACGCCCATCAGGGTGCGACGAGTGTGTCGCATGGAAAACATACCCCGACATCGTCGCATACAGTTTGTTTCTGAGAAAAACGGCTTTATGAACAGTACCATGAACATTGGGTGGGTGGGAGGAACCATAGCCCTGTAAGCCCTTCCAAACGGCCCCTAAGTTAGGTGTTGGTAGACAAATTGGGCAAAGACCGGTGAATCTGGGTAAACCGGTTTTCATATTACTACGTTGGCTCCTGCAAAACCTGCTTATCTGGTTTGCTAAGTTGGCTTTGGGGTTGTTTGGCTTCCATGGTCTAAAGTTTAGTTGATTAAAGTTAAGTGCTAAACTTTAGACCACTTTAACTCACTTGTGTGTTTTAATGAACTAATGATCTTTTTATAAAGTAGCTAAACTTTAGACATCACTTTAGACCACCTAGTTTACAGCCATGGTACAGTGTTTTTCTCTCGTAACAAATCAACATCTGCTGGATTATCAGCCGTAGAAACCATCAACTGAACAAGTTTAGTGGTTAAACTTTGGGAACAAGTTTAGTGGATTAAACTTTGAAATATGGGATCTAAAAGTAGGGTCTAAGCTGGTTATGGTAGCCTATGCTATAAACATGAACGATCCAAATACAAATACATCTACTTCTTAGCCGCCTACTTTTCACCAATGAACAATTTTTCGCTGAAATTTGGTTTATGCTGACGCTTATGCGGATTTGTTGTGAGAGAAAAACACTGTTCGTTCGCTGAAAAGTGTTGCTGAAGTAATTCAAGCGAACAAGGCCCACACAAAAAGCTCAAACAGGGGATTTACACCGATTCCATCCACCATATATTTGGCACACAAAACAGCTCAAACAAAGAATTTAGACTATTTCAGGTAGATGAACCATGAAGAAGACACGACGACAACACATATTCGTCCTGTTCGCTTGAATTACTTCAGCAGTATTTTTCAGCAAAAAAATAACGTTTTTTTCTCACAACAAATTAATATAAGCCAAACTTCATCGAATGAATGCAAAATAATCGTGGCCTCAACTATAGCTGCCTGGTTGTGTTGTACTAGCACCACACAGAAGCATCAGCTACACCAACGAAACCTTATTATTGTCCGACACATCGAACCTGCCCCCCCCCCCACACACACACACACACACACACACACACACACAGAGTGTGACTGGCCAACCGGGCCTTGTTAACTTACCCAAACCAATAATGTTAATAAATAATAATACTTAGGCAGTCAGAAGCACAAAGAATAAATAATAATAGAGTCAAACAACAAGCCCAGAGACCATTTGTCCAAGCAGAGACATCGTCCTGTTCGCTTGGCTGAGAAGGCATGGTTGAAAGTACTATTGGCTGATTTATTGTGAGAGAAAATTATTGTTCATTGACCGAAAAAGTACGTCTTATAAGCTAAGCGAGCAGACGATGTTGTGTGCCGATAAAACGCATAGATCATGACAGGCATAGGCCAGCAGCACTGATGATCCCAGCATACGCATCACCAATCATCTCCAGCAGTAGAGCAGTAGCTTGTAATTGGGCACTGAACCAATTGATTTTGGGGGATGAAGCTTTCAGGACAGAGATTACCGCCCTGTCTTTGCGCGCTTCATCCCGGTGGAGTTGAAGGGGGACACACTAGGGCTTGGACTTTCCTCTCTCAGCGTGCCATTTAGAATTGCCAGCTCCCTCAGCTGCTGCGTCTTGTAGAAGTCCATGGACTCAGTCCTGACAAAAGCTCCAGTTATTAGCTAACAGTATATATCAAAACTACTAAAAGATGATGGCAGCAATGAGGAACGAGGGTACATACAATTGGTTTATGAAGATCCTCTAGGATGGAGACAGCTTGATTTAGGCGCGCATCAACCATATCTACTGGAAACTCTGCTTCCACAAGTACATGCAGTTGTTCATTAGGTGTTCATACCCAGGTTTATCCCTCAGCTTGTCTTCCTATGAATGAAATCAAACATGTTTTTCAGGACATTTGAATCAGGGTGGGCATGATAAATTAGAAGTATAAAGAAGTAATGTACCAATAATCACTGAGCCATGCATAAGATATAACAAGAAAACCATGATCATAATATCTTACTCCTTTCTTAGCTGCCGCAGATTTTTTTTTAAAAAAAAGAGACCAAGGGTAAATTGTTATCCTTGAAACTCGTTAATGCATATAAATTTTTGAGGTGAATTATAGTAAAATACAGGAAACCCCATTGATGAAATTATACTTTTGTATGCCGATAGAGAATAAATAAAGTCATTATGTAAATGTATCTAAACTGCATCACATAAATACTCACTACGTCTAAAGTATAATAACATTTAGGATACTACTAGCGCCAGCCCGTGCAGTCCAGCGCATCCCGGCCCGCACACCCGGTTTCCCTAAAAAAGAAAAACGCCCCGCACAATCGCATCTTCCTCCTCCCCCCAATCTTCTCCTCCCCGTGTCTTCCTCGCCTCCGGTGCCACCTCCCCCGCCACCTCCTCACCCTGGCCGGCTCCAGATCCGGCGACGCTGCCCCCGACCTCGCCCCCACCTCCACCACCTCCCACCGCCCCGGCGCCCACCACCCCGCCGGCGAGACCCAACCGCCGGCGGCTACCA